ACACAGCATTTTCACAAAGAACGCACATCACTCTTTCATATCGACGTTTTAAACGAGGATCATTTTGTGTTGAATTTTTTTTTAAAAATTGTAGTTTTTGTCAAATCTGACATTGATGTCACGCACAACCTCAAATGATATCACAAGATGTCACACTCAAAGAACGTGTTGTAAATTATTTTCAGCTACTGCATCCAATTTGACCTCAGCATCTGTTAAACTGACTGAGTTGTAGCTATTTTTGTGTTGTCTAACATCCAGTTTTAATTGGATCGACACCACACGTTAACAAGTTATAGATGTACTATACTCAGAGATGTTATAAATGTACTAATATTTATGTTTTGAACGTTTTGTCAAAATGGGTTAAGTGGCACACAACCTTCCAAAAATCTGAACATCTCTAGTTTTAATCTAAGGGATCTCTAGTGCACTTTCATACACATACACACACACAAAGAGATGCAGACACACCCGGACCGTCACTCTTCCAAAAAGCAAGATAAGCCACAGCATGTCCTGACCAAACCAGAAGCAACTGCTGCTGTAAACCAAAAACAAGTGTTTGTTTTAAGGATGCTGGGATGTTTTCCCACTGAGGAGGGAAACCAAGCCCAGTAACAAACACTGCCACTGCTCACGAATCCTGATGTCATGATGATAAACAAGAGGATAAAAAAGAGGCAAAACCCAGCTCCAGCAGATAACCTGCCTCTGAAAAGTGCTTTAAGAAACAGAGAAAGAAAATCCAGCAAACACCTGAAGGATGCGTCGTTCATCAGTCCATGTTGGTCATAAAACAATCAAATACACTGTAAGAAACACCATTTGATGTTTTATACTTTAAAATCTTCTGTGTCCTCTCAAATCATGATCTGAATGTTAAAACAGTGGGAGATACATGGGCTACAATGTTCATTTTCCTTCATATCCACAGCTGATAGTCTTATTACACAATACCAAACAGGACAATGATCAGTGTTTAAACCTACAATAACAAAACTGACTTGTATTTATGACCTTTAGCTGAATAAAACCCTGCTACAAAATATAAACTATTGTTAGGTAAACATGCAGCTTAGAAACTCAACAAAGTTCAGTCAGGTCCTCTGGATGGTTTCTTTTTTTTTGTTGAAACGTTTCATCCTTCATCCAAAGGACTTCATCAGTCCAAGGGGCCACAACAAACTCAGTCCCACAAGCAGCACACAAACATAGTGGGCCAACCAGTTTGTTGGTGGCAAGATGGTTTCCGGGGCCCGCCCTCTCCCCCGTCAACTCCTCTGAGGCAGCCATAGCCAAAGTGGTTCAAAACATCAAAGTTCATGCTCAGTAATGATAATAATAAGTTTGTTGTGGCTCCTACAACTGATGAAGTCCTTTGGATGAAGGACAAAACATTAAAAAAAAAACTGAAATCGTCCAGAGGACCTGACTTAACTGTTGGATTTTTTAACCTGGATTATTGAGCAGTAATTTGAATTAAAGAGGTAACATTTCTTAAAGGAGTGCATATTGCCCACCGCCTCTCATATTAGAGTTTTAAACTAAGATCGCTCTATAATGAGAAGAAACCAAAACATCTCTCAAAACATAAACTTCTCACTTTTATTTAAAAGTCTAAATCACGAAGTTGACCACCAGTAATGGTGTCCGTCGTAGCTCCATGTTTTACAGCGTTCTGTTAGATCCAAAGGGCTGAATTCAATCCTAAAGACGGAGCGCTGAGGGAACTGGGGGTGTTGGGTTCACACAGATACGACCCAAAGGGATTGTTGACCCAGCTTCTTGCCTCCTCACCTACAAAATCATCTCTGAGAATGTTTTCATTCAGGTCTGTTCGACCCCCATCTGACCGACAGAAGAGCAGAAATGTGCTGAAAACCTCCAACTCTCCAAACAAACAGTGGCTGATCAAACAGGTAAATTAGATCCAAGACATTTTAGATATTTGGAAGTCACGAGAAAGTTAAGGATTTAAATTAACTTTTGATCCGGATTAGTGTGGATACTTACATAAATACAACTTAGCCCCATAAAATAAGTCCTGAGCTATTTTCGTAAGGTCCCTGCTGGCAGGGAAGGAAAAAGATGAAGGATCCTGATAAAGACGAACTGGATAACTGAAACTCAGACATCTCTCACAGGAAGAGAGCTTGAAAACTGACTTCAGGTTTCTTGCAGTCTTTCTGGGCTCTGGAGCTCAGACTAAAACAAATAAATGAAATAAATATACACTTCATTTCTATACGTATTATTTGCTTTCTTTATACTTTGCAGCAATGAAAAGGGTTTCCTGCTTTCATGAAGTAAGAAGTTGCTTTATGTTGCCAGATAAAACCTCCATGCACACTGTATATCAATTTAATTATTTGACTCCTGCATGAACTAAAGGGTGGACATGCACATCGCCTGCTGCCGAACGGGAAAGGGCGATAATGGTTTTACCTGTGTCTGTCATGTTGGCATCTGATTAACCAGTAGATGGATTTTAATGAAACTTTTAGAAAGTGATCATTGGATTCAAGCCTAAAACTGATTAACGTTTGGAGTCAATCCTATTCAAAATGGCCACCACAGCTTATCAACTTTATACAACATATAAGTGGCTCTAACTCAGTCAGTTGTTGAGGACCATCTTCAGTAAATTCTTTGAGAGCCAACACAACTTGCGAGTTCTGAGATTGTGGATAATGTTATTTTGAAAGTTTGATTAAAACAACTATAAATCTGTCATTTTATATAAATTAACCACTTCTGATAGTCAACACTGCTGTTTATGTTTGAATGGTGTATAAAATAACACAAAACTGAAAAAAAAATTCTTGTTGATAATTGACATATAATTACACCTTACACTGCTAGAAGCATTGCAAACTTGTAAGTATTGTAAGTCGACTTCTTTAGGCAGCTGAGAGCATCCTGTGCTCGAGCATCAACGTGTGGCATGGAGGCTGCACAGCTGCAGAAAGAAAAGCTCTGCAGAGAGTGGTGAAGGCTGCACAGAAGTCTGTTGGAGTCAGTCTCTCCACCATCACAGATATATACATTATTTACCTGCATCATGAAGGACCCCACTCATCCAGCACACACACTTTTTTGCCCTGCTCCCCTCAGGAAGGAGGTTGAGGAGCATTAAGTGTAGAACCACTAGACTGAGGAACATCTTCTACCCTGAGGCTGTTAGACTCATGAATCTCCAACTAGAAAAATCATTGTAATGACACTTTAGTAATTGGTGATATGTGACTTATCTGTGCTGCTGATTATCCATGCTGCTGATTTCATGTTGCTGCTGATCTCATGCTGCTGTATTCATTCATATCAATCTGCTCACGACAGACTCATGTTCGGGCTGCTGTTGTCATGCCATGTCATGACCTGGAAGACCAAATGATGTAAAAATAAACAAATAAATACTTGAAATTGTTTAAATTGTGGGCCCTGAATCTATCATCTATTAAAGATTAACTTTTTGAATGGAATTATGGAAGTTAAACAACTTCTCCAAGATATTCTAATTTTTTAAGAAAGGGTCTGTATATCTTAGATCTTTAGCGTATTGTTTAGTATTTATTTAACATATATTTTAGTGCACATCTTTGATCCTTATAAGTTTCTTTTTATTCTTTTTGCTATTTTTGGGTGCAACTGGGGCCCTGAGTACATACTTTCGTTCCACCTTATGTACCACATGTGATGCGAATGACAGTAAACTTGACTTGAACTTGACTTGAAGTTATCCAGCATGAAAAAATTGTGTATAATAATTGTGAACAACAAATTGGTTTAATCAAAAAAGTTAAATTAAGCATGAGTATATAGTTTTAGCCTCCTAAAACCTGCCTCCCTGTGGGCCTCCCTTTATCCAACACACCCATGTCAGCCCTACGGGTTTTAAACAATTCATCACATTTCTGCTGCTATAAACCTTTAGCAGCTGTCCTGCAGGCCAGTAAGGAAGAGAAAAGAAACTTCTTGCAGGATCTTTGCAGTGGAGATGTGAACCTGATGCAGGGCGGACCCAGAGCACCACAGTGGGAGGTGCACCGTGCTTTCTTTTAAAATGTAGAGACAAAATAAGTTTGGCTCTTTACTACAAGGGGTGAGAAGTCGTCTGTAAAGTCCCACCATTAGACGAGACTGAGGCGGGGGTGCAGGAGCTAACTCTGCCACAGGGAGAGAGGAATTACAGAGGAAGCAAACTCCAATCTGCTGCTGTGCAACATCTGGCTGCACCGGGATGCTCCCTGAAAATGTTCAACTGTGTCTCTAACAGTGCGGTAAGCATGAAAAGTAGTATAGGGACTATTTTAAGCTGCAAAAAGAGTATGCTTTTTTTTTTTTCCAACATAAAATATGCAAAAGATGACATTTATAGAGCTTGTATTTTATTCTTTTAATTCTCATTTAAGTTAGTTCATAAGAAAATAAATAAAAATACAGTAGCAACAAAAAATAAACAATAATTTTAACCAGCAAACTGAATTAAGAGCCATAAAATCTAAGGCCTGTGCGGTTTAGAGAACAACTTGCAGTTTATTTGTGCCTTTGCTGTTCACATATCTTGCTTGATCAAATGTTCTGTCTGTGCACATTTTTACAATCAAATCCACGCGTGAAGTGGAGGAGGTGACTTTATTCAGACACTGAACACAGACGGACCAAGCTTTACAATATGATGTGAAACATTTGACCCGACTAACACAGCAGCCTTCATTAACACGAGAAACTCACCTGTGTCCGCTTAACTCCTCGTGTGCACGTGCGTGCGCAATCAGTGAGAATGAAGACCAGCCGCGCGCATTAATGTTCTCGTGCGGATTGAAAACGTTCATTCAAACGAAAAACATTAAACTGTCTAAATATTTAATTGACAAAGTGGGCCTGTGGCTTTATTAATATTATTTTTTTTTAAATGCGTGTTAATGGAGCCTTCGCGCAAATCGTCTGTTTCTGGGCCCCCTATTAAAATTAATCAACCTGGTTGCCATGGGAACACAAGGGCACCTCTGCTCACGCGCTCATTCAGGACTCAGGTGCGGACTTGACGCCATGGAGGGAGGAAAGTCGCCGACAGAGGCGGTTTTCAGCCAGCTGCCACACGGGCACATGTTTTACGACACAGTAGGTGTTTTCAATCCCAAATTAACACCTTTTTATTTTCCACGGGCCGGACTAGGAGGAGAAATTAGGAGCAAGTGTCACTGTTAGCTAGGTCGCGCGAGGATGAACGCCGAAACTTTAAGTGAACCAACAGTAAAAATGTGAACTCGTATAATTATTTGGTTCACGTTAAACAGACTGAGTCTTCTGTATAAACATTTAATCCAAAGTAGGCTGTAAAATAAATTGAACAATTGTTTATGTATTGAAACCTTTACACAAAGCTATTCAGTTTATTTATATAGCATCAAGTCACAACAGAAGTCATCTCAGGCACTGAACAGAAACTTTCATATATATATATATAAATAAATAAAATAATAACACTACTACACATCATATATCTGAAGACTTGAACATTATTGTTTCTCCAGAGCGAAAAAATAATAAAATCAAGTATTTTAAATCGTGAGAACATTCCTTTAGATACAAAAATAAATAAAATCTAAAGTTTGAGTAGCCATTTACAAATCATATTTTGTTATAGGAACAAATTCATGTATTAGTCACTGATTCGTCTTTTATGATTTCTGATCACTGGTTTCTGCAGGGTTCCTCTGGGCCCGATGATCTTTTTGAAGAAGACACTTACTCTCCATCCTCCCTCTCCTCATCCTCCTCGTCCTCTGTCCCTCTGGTGACCTCCCAGCAGGAGAGCGCCCTGTGCACCTCCTGTGGCCTGGAGATCCTGGACAGATACCTCCTTAAGGTCCGACTCGCTCACTGAACTGGGACAACCACACTCAAAGTTCTTTACTGACTCAAAATGCATTTACTTATTAAATAGTTTGTTTATTTAAATGGGCTGTTAGATTTTTCTGTAAAATGGCTTTCAAAACATCTTTACATTGTATTTTTATTCAGTCTTAAATGGATTTTCTGCACAATTTTTTTTTTTAAAGTAGACAAATTTTAATTTGCCTCTTAAATACACAATGATGAATACCATACCATTTTATTTATAGAGCACTTAAAACAGCTACAAGGCCAACCAGAGTGCTGTACAGACCGAACAGACAACACACGAATATACAAAATGAAGTAAATCAAAAATGTAGACATAGAATAATATATTGTTTAAATTAAAAGAAATCTAATTGCTGTAACCTAACGAAAAAGTAAATTTAAGCCACAAAATAAACACATTGCGGTTTATTAAGACTAATTTTCCTCTAGTTGAAGGATAAAAGAAATAAAATTTGACGGAGGTGTAAAATTATTTTGAGCCATTTTAAAGTTAATGTTTTCTTTTTCTCTGTTTTAGGTGAACAACATGTGCTGGCACGTGCGCTGCCTCTCGTGCAGTGTGTGTCAAACGTCACTGGGGCGACATGTGAGCTGTTATGTGAAAGATAAACAGGTTTTCTGCAAACTTGACTACTTTAGGTACGTGAAACTCTTAATGTCCAGCATGACATTTGCAGTGTGAAGATAATGTTTCATGAGGAATGTGTCAGTTAAAGGATTAAAAATGAAAAATAAATCATACGTCAAGGTTTAATAAAGTCATCGCAGTTCACGTCAATAGTAAGACTATTTTCAGAGGATGCCTCTTGTTTTTGCTTTAAGAGTCTCTGTGAGGAAAGAAAACAGATGTTTAAATAAAACTTGCAACAGAAAGAATTAAAGATAAATATTGTTTAGAACATGGGTGCACATTTTTCATTTGCCTGAAGGAAATGATTGAATCCACATCAAGTAGTGCAGCTTTTTTTCAAGTTCAAGTAGGTTTGTCATTCACATCACATGTGATACATGAGGTGGAATGAAATTGTGCACACAGGGTCCCAGTTACGTCCATTATTATCAAAAATATAAAGTGTAAAAAGAAACAGTAACAAGGATCTATAAATTAAGAATACGCTAAACACAGTACAGAAACAATACGCCAAACAACAGCAGCACGAACATGAGTGTGAGCAGATGAGTACGAATGAATACAGCAGCATGAAATAAATCAGCAATATGAGATCAGCAGCATGGATAATCAGCAGCATGGATAATCAGCAGCGCGTATCAAAGTTTATTGCCAATGTTCAGAATCTCACGAGCCAGTGGACAGATTTAATTGAAGCTGTCACAAAGTGATCGATGGATGTACATCTTGGAGTCAGATCTATAGCCACAGCTAACATTAGCAAACACACAAATGTCTGTCAGTTTTATAGATAGAGCAAAATTTTGATGTGTAGCCGAGTCATCCCAAACACAGAGCTCTCTGCGCGAGGTAAAAAACAAAACTGAATTTATTGACTCATGCGTCTATATTAGACAAAGTAATGATTGGATGTAGATCTACAAGCGTTTAGCGGAGTCAGTCGAATTCAAGACATCCACCACAACTAATCAACTTTAGCCAACAACAAAAAAAGAAGTCATAGATGCCATCTTTTAAAATATTGAGCTATGATGTGTGCACGAGATCAGGCATTTACAAGACGTGACAAACTGTTACTACCTCATCGTTTCTCACCAAACGATAACCTAAAGTCAAAATCTCTGGTATGAAACAATGCAGTTAATGTGCATTTCTTCAAGGAACGCTCGGCCTTTGTTTTCAGTTTTTACTTTGTTTAATCTGTCTGAATGACAATGATTTAGACCAGATGGGGGCAACTTAAGGCCCGAGGGACAAAAGCGGCCCTTGGACACTCGCCATCTGCCCCCCTATATCCTTAGTTACACAAACAAACAAACAAACAAACAAACAAAAAGATTTATTAAAATATACCAGTTTATTCAGATATTCTTTGTCGTTCGCACCAAATGTGGTACATGTGGTGGACTGAAATTATGTACACAGGGTCCCAGTTACATCCAATATAAATCGAGACTTTAGAAAATTTAAACTAAACATCTTATGTAAAACTTATTTTTAAACCATTGTTTTAAGTCGTGTTTCCAGAACTACCGGTAGACTGAACATTAAAGACTTAAAGAAACACAAATGTTTGTTTTGCATATTTCTGCTAACACATAACATGTTAAGCTATAGCGTGTTAAGCCAACATGTATAATATATTGTCACAAAAGCCTGTTTACAGACTACGTCTAATAGGATATTGGAAAGACACATTTTTTAAAGCATGCCACTATGCTACAACAAGAAAAAGACTGAAAAAGGACTTCTAGATAATCTGTCGTAAAAATAAAAACAAAAAACTAATTCTGTATACGGCCCTTTGATTGCTTGATGTGGCCCTTTGGAAAAAAATATGTTGCCCACCTCTGATTTAGACGAAATACTATATGTAGTCAATTATTTTTTGGTTATAGTCAATTATAGCATTTACATAACAAAATGAGTTTATAGACTGAAAGGATTTAAAAGGGACTGCTTCCTTGTTGGGTTGCTCTTGCTCAACACTGATTTCTTTCCATTTTAAGCTAAATTTATTTTATAATTTGATTTCTGCTGCTATATAAAACTCATGACCAATTGTTACTACTTTTTCTAGTTGAATGGTTGTTGGTCACTTAATCACAAAACACCTTAATGTAAAATCTTGTGCTTTTCTTAGTTCCTTGTGTTCCTCTGGTGTTTAGGAGGTATGGCACCCGCTGCGCCCGCTGTGGCCGGAACATCCACTCCAACGACTGGGTGCGTCGCGCAAAAGGAAGCACCTTCCACCTGGCGTGCTTCTCCTGCTCCTCCTGCAAACGGCAGCTCTCTACTGGAGAGGAGTGTGGATTACTGGAGAACAGGATCTTCTGCCTGGCTCACTATGACATGGTGATGGAGAATCTCAAACGTGCTAAGGAAAATGGTTCGTGTGCAGATGGGATTTGGATTCGAGTACAATTATAACTGCCTTTAAATTGATTTTAGTAAACTTCCTGAAAAACTAATTTTATGAAAAACCTACAAGTAAAAATGAACAAAGATGGACATATATTTTGGAAATTCACAAATTATTGGAAGGTTTTAGTGTTGATCTAGAAATATTTTGTCACACATTCTGTGTCTTGACCTGAAGAGCAATCAAAAGCTGATGAGGATTCAGCCAACGGGGATGATTCAGGCGCTGCGTCTCGACCTGCTAAAAGAGCCAGAACCAGCTTCACCTTGGACCAGTTACAGGTATCGTCAGGTGCTGTTTGCTCCAGTTTATTGTCTTTTATTTGTTGAGCTGTTTCCAATAAAATGGGCCTGTTTGAAGTCTTTCACATGAAGGATGGATAAAGTTGTACAGGTGCAAACATTACTACCGGTACTTAAAATAAAAAAACTTTTAGCTGCAATTAATCTAGCTCCTTGTTAACTTCTACACAATATGCTTCATCAACACAAATCATTTTCCCAAAAAAGGATTTTTTAAAATTGTGTTTGTTTATTAGTTGCAAAGTTTTATAAATCAGACATTGATGGTACAGCACTGTTTAACTGTTTTTGTTCTTTTCCCCAAACCAAACATTTTGTGCTGGTAAGTACGGAAGAGGAATAGGGCCATGGTGATTTTTTATTTATTTTTTCTTAATTCTGAGAAAAGTCAAAATTCTGAGATTAAAGTCAGAAGAGAATTCTGACTTTAATCTCAGAATTTTGACTTTTCTCAGAATTAAAAGGGAATTATTGCATTGTGGCCCTAATTTTCATCCGTAGATAATGATGGCTAGAATAAAAAACGGGGTACAACCTCTAGCCAAGTGGAGTTGGCTTTCCTTCGCAGCACTTGGAGGTGTGGACGAGACTTCCTGAAGCCGTGTGTTCGACACCGCTCGTCTCTGAAAGTTGACCCACATCAGTGAATTCAAAAGCTTCAGCAGACCTGCAGAAAGTGGTTTGAAGCAGCAGCACAGATACTCAGTCACTGCCAGTAAATGCTCAGGTTTGCTGTCAGATGTACATGTTGTCTCACTCGCACATCTTGATGATGTGTCAAAATGTCTGCAGGAAATTTGAAGTTTAATGTAAACATTTTGAAACAGTTTGCAGAAAAAAACCTGAACCTTTGCCCTGCAGTCCTTCGTTTCACAGAAATGTGCGTCTTATTTTCCCCTCTAAGATTTATAGAACATGTTAAGATTGCAAGAAACATTTAAAATTGCTTAAATAACACAATAAGGAAAGCAAATCTAGGAATTTATTTCTTTATGTTTAGGAAAGAAAATGTTTTGACAAGCGCTACATGTTGCTATGTTTTGTTTGTGGCTGCTGACTGTGTCGACGATGTTCAGCATCGCTCAACCCCAAATTTGTTTGATGTTTCTGCTCTCGAACAGGGATTAATACTTAAAGTGAACCCACTGAGTTCTAGCAAAAGAGTTGGCTGTAATAAAATTCTGATTTCTTTCTCTCTGCAGGTAATGCAAAACCAGTTTGCTAAAGATAGCAACCCAGATGCCCAGACTCTCCAGAAACTGGCAGAAAGGACTGGTCTCAGTCGTAGAGTCATTCAGGTAAAACGTTGGCTGCTCAAGATCTCAAGATCTTTAGATTAAGTAATTAAAATATAAAGATGATGAAACGGGTCCTGTTAAGTTCTGCTCCCCCCCCCAATCCTGCAGGTTTTAATAGTTTCTCTGTTTTTGAGCAGGTCTTTAAGTTCTGCAGAAGCCTGTGAATCACTCCCTCCCTCATTCATTCATTCAAATCAGCTGTGTGGAAGCAGAGAAACATTGAAAACATGCAGGTTACTGCTCTTGTGCAAGAGTCCTGGTGGTTGACATTAATTAAAGGACTGGTCCTTAAAGGAATGCTTATTGATGCTGGTTCTCATGGCAGAGGTTTTAACTGGTCTTCATCTGAGAAGAACAATGTTAAAGCTGCTTTAGTCAAACCTTGGATATGACATTATGCCTGATCTCATGCCATATTTCAAGATCCTGCGAGATTAGTTGTGGGAGTTATGTTGAATTAGTTAAGTGACAGACAAAACGAACATGATCTCATACACAGGCCAAAACATACCACCCTTGTGCCTTCATGGTGAATTTGAAACCGTGCAAAAACATGAAGTTTTGGATGTTTTGGTAGAGTTTGCTGTGAGACATTTGGTATTTTGTCTAGTTCATACAAGGTGTCAGGCATTTTCCTTTTCAAAAAGGAAAAGTATAAAGTTGTAGAAACACCAAGTTGGCTTTTCAATGCAAGAAAACAAAACCTGACCTTTAAAAACAGTCTCGCGTTTTTCCTCTCCATCTCTGCGTCTCTCCTTATTCAGGTCTGGTTTCAGAACTGCCGAGCTCGTCAGAAGAAGCACGTCTCCATCTCTCCAAATCAGCCCTCCTCAGTCATGACATCACTTGCTCCTGGCCAGTTAACTCCACCTTTGATGGAGGATCTGCAGTATACAGCCTACATCACCCCTGACACACCCCTCCTCACTACTCTCACTTATATGGACGGTAATAAATGCAAACAATCTTATTTATATTGACAAATTAAAACAGACATAAAAAATTAAACCCAAACTGTTCACAATCAACTAAAGCAATGTGAACAGTTAGACTGGGTAAAATGACTTGCTAATAAATATCATATTGTTTTATTTTTTCTATTTAAAATTACAAGCAAATGATTTTTGTCTGACAACACTTGAGTATTTTATTGCTCTTCATTCCTCAGTCAGTAAAGGAGTCATGTTTATTCTTTATTCTTTTTTCAGTCCAAACTTCAGACCCACTTCTTCTTCAGCCAATTATGGCCACTTCACTGACGCAGCTGCCAGCCAGCCATGCCTGACTTTCATTCACCTGCTGAGAGAAGAGGCTCAAGGGCTGAGAGGAGGAAAAGAAACCTTCGATTTAATGAAAGTTGTAAGGTTAATGCGAGATAAATGATATGTTGTCTCACAAAATAACAGCACTGAGTTATCACCGTTGCATTATGTGAGAAGACACTCAGAAGAATAAAACTAATCACTTTTTGTTACTCACTCAAGGGTTCACAGGTGACAGCACATTAAAATAATTATTTGCTATAGGAAATTTTTGTTAATATGTATACTATGAATTTATGTAATTTAACTTATTTGGTTTATTAAATGAAATGAGAGGCTTTGTTCAAAAACAAGACTACAAATTAGTTTTTAGTTTTGAACAAGTTTGTTTGTGTTTTTTGGACCGAAATGCAACGGAAAGATTCACGTGTGAATTTTTGTTTTCCTGTGGAAAAGATATTAATTATCACCTGATTAAGTTACACTGCAAAGAAAAACAATCGCAACTGATGTATGAATGAAATTAGTTTTATTTATTCGTAATTGGCATAAACATGTTCAACACAGATGTTGACGTGATTTTTCTTTATTGTCAAACTGTTTCAAATCTTACACGTAGCATTTTGGACGTTGTTTTGATGATCGCAGATAATTTGCTGTACAATGTCTAAACGTTTCGTCAGATTGTGAACATCAGATTCTGCAGGAGCTGTGTTTGAACTGCACTCTGGGAAATTTAAGACCTTCACATTTGATCTGAGATACTGGAAATTAAAGTTTATTGCTACAACACACAATTTGTTTTCAGATAATTTAAGTCTTATAGAACCTCTTGTTTTATACAGCTGAGCTGCAAACACATCGACTTACCGTAATGTTTGCCTACAAGTATTAATTGAGAATTTCTGTAGTTTTGTTTATTTTATGCATTTAGTTTTAGAATCTGAACAAGAATTTGATTATTGTTGCTGCATTCATCACCAGTGGTTTATCTGCATTAACATGAAGTTAAAATGAAATAAAAAACCTGCCCACATATTGTAACAAACTTTATAGTGCTTGAGTTATTATAGACTTACAGTTATGAAAAAGGCAATATTTCTACTTTACCACTAAGTTATGTTTTAATGAGTTGTTTTTCACTTTTGACTGAACAGTGAAGCTATAGGAGCACCGAAATGATTTGACTTGTTGCTCTTTAATATTCTGCACTTCTCCACCAATAACAGTTGGTGCAGAATTAGAGGAATTATTATTTTGTTAGGCTGTAAAAAAGCAATAGAAAATTTTATAAACACATCCTAATCTTTTATTGGGGGGGAGTTTTTAAATGTTAACCAATGCTATAAACTGTCTGCTAATACCAAAACTTTGCATTTCTAATATATGCACTGTGTACTCAAGTACTTATGTAGTACCGTTCCGAAAAATTAATTGTAGCACAAAGAACGTTAAACGTAAAACTGCAAAAGAACAATCTTCTAAACTTGTTTTTGACACAAACTTACAACCCCATAAAATCGCTTCATAACTTTATTGTACTACGAAAAACAAAAAGTGAATTTAAAAATGTAGAGGGCACTAAATTGGGTTGATTTCTATGTAGCTACATAAAAACAGACTTGTTGAATAAAAACTGGAACTCATAAGCCTGCATATATTCCTAAAAGTTACAAAATAAACCATAACCCTCTTGTCTATTTCACATTGCTCCTGTAACACAAACATTACAGGCCTGTTAGTCTTTGACAGTTTTAACGTCAGCTTTATTTCTCCAGTAAGAGGATTGGTGTTTTGTATTGTAACTTTTATTTAAAAAAAATAAAATCTTTGGCTACATATTGGCATTTTATGTTCTGCTGTACTTCGAACAAAGAAAAATAAGTTTACATCACTTATTGTTAGGTGAAGTTAAATAAAAGATTATGGAGCACACTGGTGGATTGCAATAGCAGATAAATATGATCAGAACTTGTAGTGAAAAACACAAATACATCTGTAAATTCCCATTTGATGTCCAGTATAGTACAGTTTCAAACTCTGGAAACATTTTAGTTATTGCCTGTGATTTTTCTTCTACAGAATGAAAAACCCAACAGGATTCTTTAAGACACAACTTACATATGGCATAATTGGGACTTGGCTAGCTCAAAATAAGCTGTATGTTTTCTGAGGAGGAAGTCTTTCTTTTAAACTTTAAATACATCAGTGCAGACAAATGGTGGTATGTTTTGTTGTGATGTCCATACAAGCTATGGATAAGATGCAACTTAAACTATTTTTGTATCAATGTTCAAGTAGATTGACAGAATGTTGCAGTTTTAATCTCTCTAAATGTGTCCAATGTTTTAATTACAAAGGTGCACATCATTTCACAATGATGAACATTAAAAATGGTTGTGATGAGGAAGTACTAGAGTAGTTGGTTTGATTCAAAACTGCTCCACATAAAGACAATGTTTATCCAAAATCATATTTTTAAATTGTTGCTATAATATCAAACAAAAAAAGAAAAACTCAAACCGCTGTAGTAACTACACCAAGCCTGTAAGTGGCGCTGCAGCGCTGTCACGAAAACACCATATCCGGAAAACAAAAACGCTGCGCATGCGCAAAAAGCTTTCACCCGGGTAAAACTAAACAAAACAATAAAATGGCGAGTAGCAGAGGAAGAAATGATTCTTTTGTGTGGACCGACGACGAGGTAGAACTTCTGCTTCGTGTCACACTGAATTACAAAACCACTAAACTGCAGGACGGTGTTGACTGGGAGACGTGCCATTCCAAATATGCCGACATAATGGACGCTTTTCTGGGGCAGTATCCGACGATGGGCATGGCTGAGGCGGGGAAGGATTTTCCTCACCTGATTCAAAACATTTCTAAAACCCAGATCACCACCAAAATAAAGAGCATTCGAGTGAAATACAGGCAGGCGCTGAACACGGGGCGTCGTAGTGGCCTAGGACGTGTTCTTCTGTTATTTTTTGAGCTGTGCGAAGAGATCTGGGGTCGGTCTCCGGCAGCGACCCCCATCTCGGCTGGCTTTGAGACGGGCGACCTCGCCGAGTCCTCCTCTCCTCCTTCTACGGCGGCGGCGTCCCCGGCTGCGATGGAGCCCCCGGCTGGTTTTGCTGCGATGGAGCCCCCGGCTGGTTTCAAGTGCGAGGAGTCCGAGGTGAGTCAGTCCGCCTCCGGAGATTGGCTCCAGATCGTTTCAGTATGTCCAGCATAAAACAAGCGAGCTTTAGTTTGTTTTGACTCCTTTCCCAACATAATCTTAAGTGAAGAATGTTCCACCTTTGTCATATTCAAGTAGTTAAATGTTAAAGGCATAAATATTGAAATAATAACTCTTCAGGCTTTTTTACAGACGGGATGAAGATGAACCTCTGCTATCACCAGGGGCGATTCTAGAATCAGACCTTTAGGGGGGCTTAGCCCCCCAGTGCTGACAATGGCTCTTGGCTTGAACATTGTGGCCATTAGTGTCAGAAGCATTTGGGAAGTAGTCCTCCTCCCCCAGAAATGTTTGAATAAAGTAGATGCCATTTCCTGCACTCTGGTGTATTTTCACAGGTTGTTAAACATCTATGTTCACCTACTTAAGTAAACACTTGATTCAGTAACTCTTTTAGAGAGCGTGGCACAACAAGAAGTAGCACTAAGCTAGCGGTGTGCAATACAGATGTGCTAGCTAAGATACTAGCGTAGCGCTCTGCTTTACACTACACATGAGGATGGCCACAGGGCTTTATCCATCTTTTACATCTTTCCAGACTCAGTTTAGGTTTTGGGAATGGAAACTGTATTCCAACTGCTCAGGGGGCCACAGTTACTGAAAACCAGCAGCTCAGGGGCCGGACATCCAGCAATTAAAGTCGTTATGTAAATAAACCAAGGATTACAAATTATGTTCCCTTTTAAATTGGTTTATTTTGTTGCATTGAATCATAAATGCAATAAACAGAACCCAGAACTGCCCCCCCCACCCCCCCCCCCCCCCCCCCCCCCAAAAAAAAAAAATATCTCTATATATTTTTTGTTTGTTTGTTTTGAATTTTATTTTTCAGGGGTGCAGAGTTAAAATTTAGGGGTGCTTGAGCACCCTACAACAAAGGCTAAAATTGCCGCTGGCTACTAGCACACCAGATTTAACAGACTGAGTTATAAATACATTTTGTTTGCCAAGATTGCTCCCAGTGATTACTTTCTGAAAGTTTAATTAAAATCAATTCAGCGAACTCCGATATATTTAGTTAAAATTAGACACGCAAACATTCTAGCTCCCTTGATGAACACCTATTTTTAGCCTCGGCCCGTTCAGTTTAATGATCCGATGCATCTGCTCTGTTCAAGGTAAACCTGGACAGCCACAGAAGTGAGACGGTGAAAAGGAAGCCCCCGCCTGAGCCCGCAGAGCTGGACGACCTGCAGATAAAGAGGAGGATGCTGCGAATAATGGAACGGTCCGAAAGACGCAGCGCAGAAAACCTGCAGCAAATAAACACAAACATTGCGAACAGTACTCGGATGATTCAGGAGAGCCTCTCACTGATGAGGGAGGTGATACAACAGCGCGTGAAACAAATAGAACTGAAATTGCTTTAAGTGTTGCCTTTCCATTTCCACTCTGATAAAGTTCTCTTTTTATATTTTATTATTATAGCTTGTTTTTTTATTATTTAAAATCTACATTATAGAATGCACTTCTCAAACCCAACTTGGGTCTGGTATCAGTGCTAGTTTCAAGTCCCACCTCTAACCTTTCTGCTGCTTGTTCTTTTATTTTTCTAGTAAGCTTAGCCGTAACATTCTTTAATGCTTAGAAGAAAGGTCATGTGACATGATGATTGTGTGTGTGGGAGGAGTAGATGGGACTTTAGTTCCTATTAAGTAAAGGCCAGAATCTCCAGGACACAGAGTTGTGCCTAAAGGAAGGTTTTCCACCCATTAAGAGCACGTTGGACTTGAAACATGAACGACTGAGTCTGGAAGCAGTTGTTCCAATACAAGAAGTGCTAACTTACGTTCTCTAAAGCTCAACTACCCCGGTACATAATTAATACTTTGACTTTTATTTAAGAAGGCTTTACTAAAACTGTCATGCCTCTTATTTATTTTATGACATCAATCAATGCAATGCCTTCTGGTTGCATTTTAATATATGAAGTGGTGAATGATATAATTCAAGTGTTGGAAAAACGTCTCAAAAACAATGTGCCAACAACAAAATAACGTTTTTATAAATTCTAATAAGTAGGATCACTAACTATACGAGTTAAAACTCAAATGAAGGTTAAAAACAATGATCTCGTGTAAAAACAGAGGAACGACCTGAAAGATCAAACATGAGCAAATTCTGTCTGAAGTGTAGACTTTGTGTGTGCGGTCATCTTTTGCTTCACATTAATGATAAAAACATGTATAATCTTTGGTGCACAGTGTTTTTCTAGCTCAGCATCCAAAGCACAAAAACGGCTGCAGGAAACGGGGATCGTGGTGTGAAAACTAAAGCCCCTTTAAACGTCTTTGAAGTGGTTCCTGCAGCGCGAGCAGGCGGAGACGCGTTTCTGATACTGGGCCCTGAATCTCGCGTGCAGTAACGAAGAATACTAAAAGATCACATGCTAACAATAATTAGTTTTATTATAAATGTGAGTATGAAGCTCCCCCACACTGACTTCAGCTAGCTTGTGTTCAAAACTGCACTGCTAGCTAAATGTTTCATTGACCACCAATGTACATTGAAACTTCTTGTACTTTTAGAATCAACCCAATTTAAAATGGCAGCTCAACACCTGACCTGGCTGCTTGGTCATCTTTACAGATTCAGAGCTGAAGTTTATGTGGTAGCAGCCGAAACTTTTTGCCTCTTATTAGTAAGATCTTTCAATATTTTATGAGCTTGCACTAAAAGTTGCTAGGTTAAATTTACATTGTGGACACTTTTCTTGTGTGTAGTTATAAATATTCAGTGGTGTTAAAATGGATGCACGTTGTTTTGAGATGGTTTTTTCTGCACATGAATAACTCCCCTCCGTATCATGAAGGATGCACCCAGACATCCTCATTGCTATTCGAAATCAAAACAAGTATGGATGCTAGAATCTGTTTATGCTTTAGCTCTCGCTAATGCACTTCCTGCTTCTTTAGATCAGACCAGTCCTGGAAAGACTTCCACATGAAGGACCCACTCTTTTCATCTGACGTGTTGACCTTTGTGCAGCCACTAACGTGCACGTGCAGTCAGTGTTCTGTCATGCAGATTACGTCATGCCTACTTCTGATTTGTTGACTTGCACTTAATCTAAACCGTGTTCAAATCTAAATCTGCAGTCATTGAGGACATTTTGCTATCACAACATAAAATAATTATGGCTTGCAGTATCGCAATAAGATTACTTTTACACATACATTTTGGAATATTTTACGTTTTAATAAAAAAATATATACAAGTGACTTGTACAAAACGTGTGTCGTTACGGGTCGAGGTACTTGGTTAGAACTCTCCTAATTCTCTTGCCCTCCTCATTAGAGTCAGTCACGTAATCACAGATTCGTGTCAGAGGTTGCGAGTCCCTGTCGCCCTGCATCGCCTCCCACAAACCGTGCTCGTCTACAGGGTCCTCGTTGGCCTCGCAGTAATTGTGCAGCACGAAGCACGTGTATATGACGTGGGGCAGATCTCTCAGGTTGATGTCCATGGGCCTCCTCAGAGCACCAAATCTTGCTTTAAGGCGACCAAAGGCGCACTCGATGACCACGCGCCCGCTGCACAGACACAACTCGAAGTATTGCTCCTGGGGTGTGGAGCATCCGCTTGAGAAGTCCTTCATGAGAAAAGGCAGCAGAGGGTAGGCTGAGTCGCCGAGGAGAAAAATGGGTATGGCCTCCTCCTCATCCACGATCTGCTTCTTCAGAGCAGGGATCTTGCCCGACTTGAAGCACAGGTTCACCCTGGAGTTGGCAAAGACCCGAGCGTCCTGCACGCTCCCAGGCCACTTCACCACCACATCCATGAACCTGTACCTGTAGTCACAGACGGCCTGCACGTTAATGGAGTACCTGCCTTTGCTGTTGATGTAGTCCGCAGGGTTGAGCGGGGGCTGCTTGATCTCGATGTGGGTGCTGTCCACCGCCCCCAAACACTGCGGCATGCCGTGCGCGTTCAAGAAGCCCAAAACCAGGTCTTCGGCGTCCGGCTCCGTGAAAGGCAGCTTGATGTATTTTGGACCCAGGTGGGCCGCGATGGCTTTGCACGTCTGCCTAAGAAGGACGGAAACCGCCTGCCGCGACACTCCGAAGGCGTTCGCGGTCTTCCGCAGTCCGCCCTCGTCGCCGCTCAGGTAGTACACGGTGAGCGCGACTCTCTTCAGCGCGTCGATCGGCGCTCTCATGTTGGTCGTCTGGCCCTCGATATATGGACGAAGTTGTTCGGTCAGGCCGAGAAGAGAGGCTCTGGACATGCGGAAGTTCTCAGTCCACTCGCTGTCCTCCACAGCGCCGCTCGCAAAGTTGTCCCACCAGCTGCTGGTTCTCCCGGGTCGGACCCAGTGCTCCCTCCGGGCCCTCCGTCGAGTCCTGCTCCGCGGTGAGTCCAGAATGTGCTGGATGTTGTTGTTCATCAGCCTCGTCTGCTCGTTCAGGCGGTACAGGACGAGAAGGTTCTGCTGCAGATGAGCGACTAGGTCCTGTAGTAGCTGCAGCATGAACGCCAGCATCATGTCGGACGCCATTACTGTTGTTGTTTGGATTGACGCGTCGCGCGCGTGAGGTCGTAGGTTATGTTGGAGGCGGGGCTATGACGTAATTTTTTTTTCATTCAACCTTTATTTAAACGGGTTAATCCGCAAAACAAAACAAATATCTGTAATGAACACAATTTAACATTGTAACTCGCGTTTATTTATTTTTGTGTTTTATTATTATTTATTTTTATTATTGTTTACTTCCTTTTTCTCTTCTTTCTTTGGTATGTTCATTGTTCTTCAATGTGTATATTTTGAGCCTGTTGTATTTGAAGTAAAGCTCTAAATAAAGATAAAAAAAAAATAACAGGTTAATCCGATTGAGCCACGAGGACTCATTTACAAGAGTGGCCTGAATTTTAACAAAGACTGATGACAACAGTGGACAACAATGACAACAATAGACAATCATAAAGGATGCATACAAATTTTATTTTTATTATTATTTTTTAACAAATGAAAATAAAATGGTAATTAAAAGGAAAAGTATCAAAAAACACCTAGATTACGAGGTGGTGTAGCAAACTAAAAACAGGAACATGTCTGCATTGGTTCTTGCCAGGAACTTAACAGATGTTTGAAGCCACAGGGAGGTCAAGGTCGGGAGATTCAAAACTTTTAGCAAAATATTCCAGCGAGCGGAGTAGAAGGCCCTTTCGTAATCGTTTTAAAGAAGCTGAGTTTTGGCTAATGTACTGTTTTTTTTTTCTTTTTCTTTCAGCTGCTCAGGGGTCACCACAGCAAACAAACTTGCACAAAGACTTGGTAATTGTTTTTATGCTGGATGTCCTTCCTGACACAACCACAGACCATGGAGCTAGCACAGCTCTCTGTGTGGAGCAGAGCGCTGACATCTAGTGCCTGGGGGAGCAGATGGTGGGTCAAGGGCCTTGCTCAAGGGCCCAGAGTGAGGCAAATGAGGGTGGAGGCAGGTGCGGGCGCTTCACCTTTCCACCCACATTTTTAATGTCTGTCGGGGTGAGTTGAACCAACAACCTTCCGATCACAGGCTTGCCTTCTCTAACCTCTGTGCTGGCTAATGTGTACAAATCCTAAGTGTGGCGTTCTGAACTTTTTAAACTAGAAAATCTGTTTTCAATAAAGGCCATCTTTTATGGACTGAAGGTTAAAACAATTAAAAACCTATTCACAAAACGCACTTAAGACAGCACATTCTGGTGGATTGCAAGTGCAAATACATTAATCTGACCAGAATTTCTAATACCGTATATTTGTTTTGTGGTGATAAGCATGGATTTAAAGATACTCATTGCAAATTATGAAAGGTTGGCCTTAAGGCTGTTTATAGCTTAAAGTTATAAGCCTCGGTATATAGTCTATAATATACTATAAGCCCAGTCTATAGCAGGGGTCTGCAACCTGTGGCTCTGGAGCCACATGTGGCTCTTTGGTCCTTCTGCAACGGCTCTTTCAAGCTTTGACCAAAACTAACAAAACTGAATTTAGAATTTTATACTCGCAAAAAAAAAAATGACTAGTTTTAGCAGTTGTACTGTTATTTCCTTTGCAAATGTGTGTATACTATAGTACTATTACACATAAATTATACTCACTTTAACAAAGTTCAGTCAGGTCATCTGGGCGGTTTCGCTTTCTGCTGAAACGTTTCGTCCTTCATCCAAAGGACTTCTTCAATCTGAGAAGCCACTAAACAAAACTCATTCCCACAAACAACACATGCCATAGTGGAAAACATTGTTGGAACGTTGTTGGATTTTATACCTGGATTACTGAGCATGAACTTTGGTAAATTCACTTTAACTTTATGCTTTATTTCTTCAAAGTAGGATACTCAATGTCTCCACAATAAAAATAAAAACACATAAGCCTGTACAGTTCATTTTAGTTGTTAAAAAATGGGATATATATA